GTAGTGATATTAAGCTTTTTGAAGATGCGTGAATGATATTCGGGAGATATTGCGGGGTGTGTATGAGGTGATGGTGGTGCAAAATTGGTTGACTGAATGAAGTGATCAATGTGTCAATTGCGATTTCACTCCCTGTTAGATTAGAGCCAAAAAAAAGTTGTGAAATATAATTTTGAAAGTTTCAATTCAGAACAATGAACATGACGATGAGTGAATGAACAGATGATTATGAACGAACGGTTAGTAAACATAAGTGTTAAGTGAAATTGAAAACGTACTGGGTTGTTGTGTTAGTGGCAGAACAGTGATGTGAGCTGGTTCTGAGTCAACTATTTCATAGGTTTCCGTATCTTCAGCCGAGCAGATATACGCGCCAGCATCCGACGGTTGAATGTTCTCGATTGTCAGTGTGCCATCAGTCTCGGTAATATGCCATCCCATCGATTGACCATCAGCGCGGCGCCAATGTAGAATCGTCTCACTGTCCCGAACCGGAATGGAACATTTCAGGGTGATCGTCTCACCTTGATCAACTGTTACGGTTGACTTCTCAATGGTTGGTTTAGGTTCTACGGCTGGTTCCAAAGGAAGTTCACGTTCAGGCTCAGGCTCCAGTTCCTGCTCAGGTTCAGGTTGTGGTCGCTCTCGGTCCTCACCGAACAAATCTTCTTCGGCTGTAATTTCGTGAATGTTTGTGCAACGCATGCATGAATTTCAGATAAAAATCCATTTGTTATCAATAAATGCCATCAGAAAAGTGTTAATTTGGTGAGGTGCTTAAATTCATTCCTATACAATTGCACGTGAATGATAAAATTATCAATCTGAAAAACATTGGTTATTATAAGTTATCATATGGTGTTAAGTGTTATGATAATAGGTTGTTAAGTAATTTCACAAACAAACATACACATGGTATTAGTGGCTTTTTTGCTTGTATTATTACACCGAAACCCAAACAGTTAATTTTTAAAAAAATGGCAATATGATCTAGTGAAACTTGAAATGGAATCGAAACGGAAATCGAAGAGGAAAATCCAGTGAATAGAGGAACGTAAGTGAGATAAAATGAACCAAAAGGTTTTCATATGCGCACCGGAAAACGTGTTCAATAGAAATAACTGTGAATGGAAGTTTAACCGAAGAAATCGAAGAAAAAATCGAGAATTCGAGGGCAAAAGAAATTGTTGGTGAGGTGAGAGGAAGAGAAGAAGCGCAACAACAAACATACTTCTTTCCTCGTCTGAAGGTGTTACTACAAGATTGACCGGTTCCGAGTCAATTCGTTCACCGGTCATGCGGTCATACGTATAGCAGATGTATTCGGCAGCGTCAAATACTTTCACATTGGAAATAGTCAGTATACCGTTCTCATCGGACGCATCAAAACTCATGTACTGATCATCGGCTCTACGCCAATGCAACTCCTCTCCAGACGCGCCTTGTATCGAACAAGCTATCGTAACGCTAGTTCCTTCTTGGATCGATATCGACGTTGTTTCAACGGTCGGCTTTTGAGGCTCAGAGATGGCTACAATTCGCACAGAAATGATAGTAGTAGTGATTAGCAGCAAAGAATTGTGTTAATTGGGTGCTTATCATCAGAATCATAACGAAGGTGCTCGGAATAGTCGTTAGTACAATAGTTTCAGAATGCTGCTACCTGTCATGTGCTTGTGATACGTTTAAAACCGGAAATTTTCATTCGATTAAGTGATCGATGTGATCTTCTGAGTGTATCAATGCTGCGATGTACAT